CTTTGATGTTCCATGGAATTCGTTATGTTGGCCAAGGTCAGGGAAAGTCGAAGAATTAACCCAATTTTCTCGTTGGGCCCCATAGTGGCATTTTTTACATTAGTAGGAATGAAAGGAGCAACAAGGTTTCGTTTAAATAGAATTTCAAATTTTTTACAACTTTGCAAAGAGTTATAGATCAGTGCAGTCCGTTAGCGAGTAACCAGTGTTTGCGACGACTCCGACGAATATTAATAATACATAAGCTAGCGCCTCGTTGGGAAAGCTATTAGAGGCAGACTTTTGACACTTGCAGAACCGAGACGAATCACCTTTATGGTCACCTCCCCGCAACGGCGACCATAATTCAGGCTTCGCACCGCAGCATCCAGCGTGGTTGTGTTATATAGAATCTCGTAAAGAGGGGGACAAACAATAAGATTTGTTACGTCTCCGCCGAAGGGGTCCCGCGTTTTCGAACGTCCGTGTCAAAAATCTCTCGGAAAAGCCTTCACTCGAGGACTCAAATTTATGCACGGACGCTAGGCACCTAACGATGTAAAGTTTACATTGTAAAGCAAACCTTATATACGTTTGACATCGAAATTTTTCGTATCGAGAAATGAACGAGTGAAAATTATTTTGATTTTTCCTACTCCCTCGTAAGACCTGAATGTTTTTGTCTGCAGGTAAAATAAAAAATATTCCACGTACCAAAAGTCTACAGATTGCTACGAGAACGCGTCTCTTTGCGTCACGGCTGATAAATAAATTGTTTTTGGTTGCCAAGAATAATCGGCAAAGGTAGACAAGCCAAGAGGAGGGTGTTCTCTGGCAAGCTTATTTTGAGCATCGTAGGGGCTGTGCGACGATAATACGTAGATGATAATCGCGATATTAATATCGCATTGGGAAGCGCGCACATGCGTGCAAGGGCCCATTGGTCACGGCGGAACACTTGCTCGCTTGCTGGCTCGCGGTTCTCTGAATGCACCCTGATTTTAGAAAGAGACGTCCAGAGGGTGGAACCCCAAGTTGGGATGCGGGCAAAAATCGAAATTCGCCCGCCCCCGCTGCGGTGGCAGACGAAAATGTTTATTTACTACTGACAACACGAGCGCGTTCCAATCTAAATAAAAGCTGATAGTTGTCGAAGAAATCTACAGAATCCTACAAATACAACCAACAGAAACCTGCTTGTTAAAATCGAAATTCGAATAAACGACCCCCTTCGAATTCGATTCATTAGCAAACCCTAGGAATTCCTTAGCGAACCCAACAGCGAAACACGTATAATAAAACAGCGAAACATTTTTAAACAATCCAGGGAAGCAACACGGCTGGTAAATTAAGAAGAATAAATTTCCAGGAGACCTCGACGCCCAGTGTTTGCCGTCGACGAAGCGTGCGAGGGGCTAGGAACACTTGCCGTAGCTTGCTTTCGGGTAGGAGAATGGTGAAACACTCGTGCTTGAATTTCGAGGGACCAGAGAGAGGGGTTGGTACAGGGGATGGTGCAGCTTGTGAACACTCGTGTCATTCCCTGGTCCGGCACCATTCACCCTGGGATGAATCACGTCACCCGTGCGGGAGGTCCACCGAGAAGGAACCGTGCCCTTCTTCTAGTCTTTCTTCGGGGTGACCGTATACTTTGTAATCTCGCTAATTCGATAAAACCGCTTGGATTCGCCTCCTTTGGCATCTCGAGTCAATCGTCTTTGAAATGTAACCCTTCCTCGGGAATCTTTTGTTGAGTCGTTATGTTTTTTTTCATAATTATTCACGATCTAAAAAGGATAGATGGAGGTTAAAAGTACACTGGAGGTGGTAAATTGATCGCTCCAAAAACGATATCCAAATTTTGTATAATAATTTTAACACAGGTAGAACGACCGATTCCCAAGGAACTGTCCAGAAAATTCGGACCCGAATGCGTCATCCTAGAATCGTTAGGCAGGAATGCAGGCGACTCTAGCTTGATCTTTACGGGAGGGGTTAAATTGCCACAATAACGTCTAAAAGTCTTTTAACCAGAAACAGATAAAGATCGAAAGGAATAGCCTTGGACAACGTAACGGTAGGTACTAGCTATTAGCACGAAATACCTGCAGAAATTGTTGGAACGAACGGGCCAACTCGGGACGAAGATTAGGCATCTCATTAGGCTCGCAAGAACGTTCCACTGACCCTTGGGCTGTTCTATGTCTAAATTTTACAAATTGCAATGAACAATATTCATAAGACACGTACGTGCAGTACAACACGTCCTCGACTCTTCGTTTCCCAGCTGCAGAGTACAGGTCTCACTTTACATAAGGCACCGCGATTATGGGTCACTGGACGACTGATTTTTCCTTCACCTTTTACGTTCTAATCTAGACATCCCGCCAAAACATCGTTGAAAATTAACAGGATTACTCTGATCCCTCGTTAAGTCTCGCTACCACACAATATATGGCAATTATAGGCAATGTCCACGCCACTAGAACGTTCATTTTCCAAAGCAGGCACATTATAGCCGACCATAGTAGCCAATTGCCAACCTGGCTACCTGCAAGATTTACAATTATTAACTTCCATTAAATAATAAACCACTAAGTATTAGTGGTTTATCAATATATATACATCTATAAGGTTCTTCATATACATATTTATAATGAAAGATTCATTTGTTAATATCAAAACTATCATTTAATTTAGTCAAAATTTAGTTCTTCGATCGACATAGAGGGTACGAATATTTACGGGATTGACTGTATATGTAAAATATTTTTATTAGTCGAGGACCTAAAATCTCGGGAACGTCCCTAGCTCGTAGCAGGAGAAACTGGGGAACTGGTCAGGGAGAAAGGTGAAATCAGGATTCTCATGGATGGAGGGTGTATCCAGATCTACGAACGATTAGGCAAATCCAGACGGTATCGGTCGATCGCGATCTACGCACGAGCGCGAGAAGAATGTGCCACTTAATTTCCTAATCAACCGTTGATTCAGATGCACCTTTCGACAGGATCCCCCGTCCTCGACGGGACGCGCACATTGGATTGCAGCTGAGCCAAACAATGTCCTTTCACATGAGGCTTTTATAGCCCCATCAAACATACAGCCTCTGCCTCTCTTCCTAGTGACGTACCCTGAACGACCTGCGCGTGTCACGCTCGTGTTCCCCGCAATGTAATCACCTCTCGGCGAAAGGTGTCGTCGAATATGAAAAATTAGGTGGTATTTCGTCGAGGCTTCGACAGTGACATATTTGACGTCAGATCGATTATTTCTGAACTTTTCTATCTAAACGATCCCCTAGCTTCGCTATAAAATTGAATGTGACAATCGAAACATTTAATAATAATAATAAATTGCAATACAGGGACGATTGACTCGAGATGTCAAAGGAGGCGAATCCAAGGAAAATAATCCTGGGCACGGGTACAATGGTGGCAGAAGTTATACAAGCCACTCGGGACTCCCTGGGTAACTTATTAGACCGTAAGGAAGCCACCGAAGGGTATCGCTGCAACGAAATGGATTAACGCAAATTATATTGCACGGACGCCAGGTACCTGCGCATTTCGGTATTTTTGCCTGCTACTGTGCCCCGTGAATGATAGGTGACTCTTTACGCACAATGGCCGACTAGAAATGGGTCAGACAATCCGGCGCCAGTCGCGGTCAGTTTCGAAGGGAAGAAGAAATGGGCAACGAGCTGACCTTTGGGTAATTCGTTCCCGTGACAGACACCTCGTATCAGTTACCCGACTATCGCTACACTTTTGCACCTGCTTAAAGCTAGAACTGCGATCATTTTATATTTGTACATTTAATTCTTTATTTACTGGCGGAGCTTACAAGTCCCATCAATTTTCTCATAGTACTGTATTAATTAAACGCTTTGAAATTTATTGTGACTTTCAAGTTCACGTCTATAAAGTTCGTTTTTCAATTGCTGGATAGTAGCACATGCTTTTTCTCTTTTAGAAGCTTGTTAGAGACAACTCTATAAGATGATATACGCAAGACCAAGATAGACGCCTAGATTTTAAAAACTTTTGAAAAATTCAGCAAACGAAGGGTTAATAAGAATGCTACAGCTTCGCCCCCTGATCAACTCTAAACGATATATATATATATATAATAAATGATATATTTTCCTATAGTATGTTAATTAAATTCATGCAACATGTTAACCTTTATCAACAGACGTTTTCTTTTTATAATAAAACATTTATTTGAAAACATCGAACCTATTATTTAATTTAGACAAACTACGAATATTGATGAGACTGACTGTATAAAACAGAAAATATTAACAATCCTCCGATTAGGTCTATCGATGCACCTTACGCTGGGATGTCACCAGGTGTCCCCACCCTCGCGACAATAACCCCACCCCTGGTGATCGAGGGTGCATCCGGATTCGTGAAACGCAAGAACGATGGGCCGAGTTACCCCCCGAAACCGCATCTTTAAATACAATTACGCGTATACGCGCTGCGAAAACGCAAGGGTCCAATCAGAGTGGAGGGGAGCGACACGACTGCTACCCCCTCGGTAAGCAATTCGGGGCACGAGCCCTCCAGATATTTAAGCCTCTCGCAAAATACAGGTCGTGCCCAGTTGATACCTTGACATCGCGTCACGATCATCGAATTTACTACCCGAGAATTTCGTCGCCTAAAAAGCTTCGCCCGAGTCTTCGACCATCTAGTGACCAGTGTGATACGTTACTTCCATCGCGAACATACACTGGACTCGAGTTGAAAGTTCCGTGACAGTCCAACAACGATCTACTTCCGTGGTACGTGACAAATGGAGTCCGCGAATGCCGTCATGTTCCCGCCTATCATCACCGAAAACGCTCTGCTTATGAGCATCGAGGCGCTCCAGAGGACGCCCTTGTTTCCAGTACGACCGATCGTCAGGGCTGCCAGGATGCTCGGACGAGATTCCTCCACGGAGGTCATCGACGTCAGCAGGCTATCACAGAAGAACACGTCGGTCATTCAATACGTGAGTGCTTCCATTTTGCGTGACCAGATCGAAATCCTCTTATAGGGTTCTTCTTCGATAGACGTAAAGGGAAATTTAGCTGTAATTTTTGTTCAATTTTCTAATAAATTTCGTCTTTCTGGCACAGGTGGAAGTAGCGGATGCGGACGGTCGTCTATACTGCGTGGACGGTCTCGTAAGCACCGCCAACTGGCTAAAGATCGTCACCCTCGCGAAGGACTGTCAAAGTTGCAACGTTCTGCTGATGTCCACCGAAAACGGAGTGATACTGAAGACCGTAAGATGCATATCCCCGGGCGAACCTCTGCTCATGTGGTTCACCGAGGACATTCTTGCCATGCTGAACATGCCTTTCCTGACGCCATCCAACATTCAAGGTAGATTCATAGACTTCTGAACGCGCAAAGCTTTCGCGATACCTCGATAACGACATTTCAACTAAGCAAGCCACGGTTGCAGGACAGAACCGGTACATGTGCCACTTGTGCAACAACCTCTTCGAGTACCCCAACCCTCTGAAGATCCACCTAGCTTTGAAGTGCAATCGACTGGACGCCAATCACCTCTGGTCCACGTTGGCGAAAGAGTTCAACGTGTCGTCGAGATCCAAATTATCCTTCAACTTGTTTCCGCAATCGACGTTCCGATTCGAGCTATCCAGATCTCCGCAGACGTCTCCCAACTCTAGAATATCCCCAATCCTGGTGGAATCTATGGACTCGACGATTTCCATCACGACCACCTCCTCAAGATCGTCGAATCAACCTTCTCCGTCGCCTTCCAACGAAACCTCGCCCAATTCCTCCACCGCGCAAGTTTCGCCCACCTCGTCGACGCAAGTGTCTCCCGCGAGGAAGGACCTGGCCTACAGACAATCCGCTTTCAAACCCTACATGAACCAAACGAACGTGTTCGCCAGCGTTTGCCCTCCCGTTAGAGAGGGACCCGTCATGGCGCCCTTTAACGTCCAAACGACCGCGCCAACCATCAATACGGACGCCCACGCCGCCCAGATGGAGACGATAGTCAGCAATCTTGGGAAATCGAAGCAGGGGAACCAGTGCATCTACTGCGGGAAAATCTACTCCAGAAAGTATGGCTTGAAGATCCACATCAGGTATCCATGGCGATCAGTTCAACTTGCGTTAACTGCGATACAGATTTTAATGATTAATATTATTAGTAATCACCCTAAGCTAAATTGTACAACTTCCTTTTCTGCTGCAGGACTCACACCGGCTACAAACCACTAAAATGCAAATACTGTCTACGACCTTTCGGCGATCCGAGCAACTTGAACAAACACGTACGACTGCATGCCGACGGGGACACGCCTTACAGATGCGAGCTGTGCGGAAAGGTTTTGGTCAGAAGAAGGGACCTAGAGAGACACATAAAGTCGAGACATCAAAACATTGATCAAAGTTCCGACACGTCGTCAGATGGGAACGAAGTTTGAGGGGAAGATGTATGGCGCTGACTTGAAGCCATCTACCGAAAATAGAACCTGAAGTTTCACGCGTGCACGCGAAATTACGGTTACAGGCATTTCGGCATGTGATGTCACTTAGCGTTGGGTTAATACACGCATGAACGTGTTTTAACTGCTCTCCGTCGTTTCGCGTGTAGACAAGATGGAGCTTGTTCGAGTAGAAACCATTTCTTATTTGTAATATTTTTATATTTTATATCGTGCTTAGGGGAATATTTCCTGGAAGAATTATTCTCGGCATCGAATCTTGTAGAATAGTTTTGGTAATCGAATGAGTTTCATCTCGAGTACACGCGAAACAGAAGTCACTGCCATCTACTTGCTTCCTTGGGAATGGTTCCCACGCCTACCTGCGGCAAGTGCACTTATTGTAGCACAGATACAGGATTACAGGCTCTAGCGGAAAATTTGGTTCCTAGAATAGCACCGTGCCTACGTGACTGCAAGCACATAGCTGCACGGGCAACGTGCTCCAAAATGGCCGCCTGCGAACGGTCCTGCGCGCGAGCCACGCGTTTTCATAGTTTTCAAGCGTTCTACGCAACGACAGGATGTCGATTAATGATACACGAAGATAATCCTTCGTAAGCCAAAATAATCGATTCTCTTTCCTTTATATTTCTCAATTTTATATCATAAGAAACAATAACGAACAATACTTGCAACATTTACAGCTATATTTACCTTCGATTTCTTGGAGTTAAACAATATTTGGTTCTTGGGAGACCCAAATATGGTTAGCAGCGATCGAGGTCGTCCATCCAGTCGTACCTCGAATAAATATATTTATTATGGATTGTAAATATGCGTCTAGATTAATGGACGAGATAGTAGTCTTATAAAATACGTTTTTGTGATCAAGATTATTTTTGTAAGATGCATCATCAAAAGACTGTGAACTTCTAAATAATTTAATTATAAGTAATGAATGAACATTATGAGTAATGAATGAAATAGGTGACCTGTGACACACAGCATTGAAACTTTAGTTTGATATTTACTTCTTTCGCTTACTTACAGTACAGTACATACGTACAGTGAAAGAAGATAAATTGTAGGTGAAATGTATTGGCCATTGATCAACCAACCTTTGGTGTAATACAAAACTCAAACTAGAGCTCCAACCCGTACGCCTTCAAGTCTTAAGATTAAGATAACTGTTATCCTAATGCGTACTCGAAATAGACAAATATAATTGTTACCTATACTCGTTGATTACTGATTGTCTTCGCCCACCTACATAATTTTATACACGTTACATAAAGCAAGAATTGTTCTCCAAAAATAATATAATGATCTTTAATTTTATCCCAAAAGAAACCTAATACTATGTTTAGTCTAACTATACCTGTGTATGCAATTTATATAAATTTTAAATATATTCCATTTGAGGATTATTGCGAGCTTGTGGTAAACGTGCCCTTATTCCACCTGGAAAATGGTTCGATACATATTGATGAAAAAACCATTAAACCTACGTATATAAAACTGTGTAATGATTTGTGAGGAATACAATAAATATTCAACTGTATTTTGATTGTTACGAACGTCGCTGTTAATTAAAATAAAGAGAGAACTATGTTATTTTTAGTGTGATTCGGTATTGGTATAGTTCACTGGTTTAGGTAACGTCTAGATTTTATGGGGCAACAAATAGTATAGTTGGCCTCAGGGGCTGTAGCGGTGTTTAGAGCTACAGTACGAGCTTAGCAACCCCGAGGTACCCGAGCTAGAGGGGGGCCAGCGGGCCCCAATAGATGAGAAGCGAGAGATACTGCAAACAGTATTAACACAATGCAGGAGTCGTGTAAGACATAATAAGAAGAATGGAAATAAGCTAGTAATAAGTACGCAGTAGTGCAATAGCTTTGTATAATAAGTTACGCACTTTAAATAAATAAATGAACGAATGAATGAATGAATGAATGAACAAATAGTATAGCCATCTAGCGGTGGATGGTAAATTAAATTTTAGACTTATTATTATATAAAATAATTATTTAGTTTTTTCAACAACCAAGTTTTGTGCAACATGGCTGGCGCCATCGGTGGCAAAATGCTCAAGTTTGTAGTGAAAGTAGTTCCCACTGCTGCTCCTAGATGGCGCCGCTATGAAAAGAGATAGTGGTGCCATCGGTGGGAAAATGCCCAAATTCATAGGGAAAATAGTTCCTACGGTTCTTGGTAGATGGCGCTACAGACACCTTTTATAAATTATCCATAATTTTAAATAAAACACTTTACTAGTACTATTTCTTGCTTTATAACACTATAATATGTCATTGTAAATACGTATCTGTGTTTGCTATGCGTCAATTATGCATTTAAGTAAAATTAACATTAATGCAGCCAAAGAGTTGACATTGCCATCTACCAATAATCAGGGATACTATTTTGCCTACGAACTTGGGCGTTTTCCCACTGATGGCGCCACTATCTCTTTAATAAGTGGCGTCATCTAGGAGCAGCATTGGGAACTACTTTCACTACAAACTTGATCCTCTAGGTTCGTATTACCTCGTGATTTGTTTTGTGCAGCCAGAAAAAGTATGGCGACGTGGGAAGGTGAAAAATTTCAGGAGATCGAGAATGCCGACGATATTGAGGGAAATTTTGATAACATTCTCGTGTCACACGATCTTCAGGATTGCCTCGATGACTGTATTAGCTTAGACTTAACAAATTTTGGGATAGCTTACGAGCAAAGTGCCGTGTTCGATTATGACAAGTATTCCGACGGCGATACCCCTATCGACGAAAGGCTATCTAATGACAACACTACGAGGTAAGATCACTTGAATGTTACGTGTTTCTTATTTATTTCCATGAATCGAAGTCCCTTCGTGTTACTTATTTGCTGAGATCGAAAATGAAACGAGAGACAGAACGAAAATGATTTGTAACCTATTCGTTTACATAGCAAGCGGTATTTTGTATCCCATCCTTATAAGGGTATAACACATTTTGAAATTAGACCCTTAATTCCTTTTTTCATGTTTCTGAGTATAACACATTATCGTTGAATTAATCCTCAGAAATTCTCCATATTTCTTGGATATGTATCTTTGAGTGTTCTTCCTTGTGCAGTCTTTATTTAATATACATATACTTCGTTTTTTTTTTATTCTTGGGAACTAAATTAGACAATTTATGATCATCAATGTGATATACAATTGTATTACAAAATATATATATATATATTATGCGGTATTACAATGTTATAAATTTAGCTTAGGAGTAATCACATGCAACAATACATTCAACTAGGTGTTATTCATACTTGGTTAATATATACTGTATTTGCTGGCAAAATTAGGATCTGTGTCAAAACATTACGGTTCTACTTTTGTAAACTCGCTTATATATACACATAACTAAATAATATTTTCATTATTTTATAGGTCCATACATCATACAATCAGTCCTCATGAGATTTATATGCGAATTCATTCTGATCAAGATGATATGTTATCAAATAAGTCATTGCATGCAACTATCAAAATTGAAAGCACAGTTCCAGACACCAGTCAAAAACATATCGGTCGTTATACCTGTGAATACGAGGGTTGCAACAGAACATACAGCACAGTTGGAAATTTAAGAACCCATATGAAAACTCATAAAGGTAAAATTTTTATATAATTCTTAATTAGAAAAAACTAAACAACTTTTGTTATATAAATGAGTGTCTATGAAAAATATTGCAAACATCCGACTAGAGTCATAAGCTGTAACAGTATCGTAATAATAACATATATAATATAATAATGATTATTGCCATCATTAAGAATTGCTGTGTAATTTATACAACTTCAAATAGTACCATGAGCTTTGCTTCTTGTGCTTACATAACTAGCATAACTCGTACTAATTTCTGTGTGTTCTTTTTATGCTTTCTAAGATTGAAGGAAACAAGGTAAGGATGTGAACTGTTACTATTATTGCTGTTAGTTTTCATTTTTTTTTTTTAATCAAATTGAAATGCATAGAGTGTGCTTGTAATTTACAAAAATTTTATTACATATACATTTATTCATTTATGAAGTCATCACTGCTGGTATAAAGGGATCGCTTCGACCTGCATGGCTTTCAGATACTGCAAGCGCTAGGTAGCCCAGCAAACTTTTTATGTGGAGGGAATTCTCAAAACTTTCAGGCGAGTATCGATTTAAATGTGCAGAACCGAGTTGTGGCAAGGCCTTTCTCACGTCGTACAGCCTAAAGATTCACATTAGGGTACACACAAAAGTAAAACCGTTCGAATGCAATCACAAAGGCTGCGAGAAAGCATTCAATACCCTTTACAGACTGAGAGCTCACCAAAGACTTCACAGTGGCAACACATTCAACTGCGAAGAGACAGGATGCGTTAAATTCTTCACTACTTTAAGCGATCTCAAGAAACATATTCGTACTCATACTCAAGAAAGACCTTACAAGTATGTTTTTTTGCTATTTTTAATTACTAATTTTTATATACACTAATGTACACATATACACAGTCTAGATGAAAGTAACGCGGTTAAACCGAGAATGATAGGAATACAAGTGTAAAAAGAAAATAACATAAACGTGAACTTGTACAGATCTTGTATAGAATAACAAGTTATTGTTTCAGGTGTCGAGAAAAAGGGTGTGGTAAAGCTTTTACAGCATCGCATCATTTAAAAACGCATAAAAGAACGCATACGGGGGAACGACCTTACGTGTGTACTTACGAAAACTGTAAACGATCTTTCACTACACCTCACAGTCTGAAGAGTCACTTAAAAACTCACAAGAGAATGACTAATAATGATGAAACCGTATGTATTATACCTGTAAGAAAATTTATCCTAGTATCAAATATATGTATCATGTTGCACTATTTTACCACAGAAACAAGAAGGAAATCAAGACGATAGTGGAAACCAAAGAAATAGTGATTTATTAAAGACGGAAATCGATATCGTTGATTTAACTCCTAAAAACACAAATGTGCCATCTTATGCTATTATACCATTACCTAGTAATACGGAAAATAATGAAAGTATAGCTTACTTATCTACGGAAAGTGTAAATGATCGATCATCTCCTGCAAACAATATGTTGGATATCTTAAGTCATAATAGACTTAATAAAGAGCTTGATTACGATATTAATAATAAAAGTATAGAGAATTCGAATAAAACTGCAGAAGTCACGCTTCTTTCATCGGAAAATATTATTTTAAATAATTTTAACGAACACTCAATCGATAATTTTAATAATAATGAAAATTACGACAAATTTAAAATATTCAGCGAAGTAAACGATTCAAATTTACAGCAAGATCAGAATCAACAATACACGTCTGACTCCTCGACGGAAACTCAGGATAGTAAGGCAAATAATTTAATAAAAACTAATTCGATAAACTTGGAGCAAAAGATTATACAGGATGGCTTACAAAACACGATTGCTCACATATCGGAAGGAACAGATTTCACGAGCGACGTGCAGCAGTATGAGAATCAGGCATCCATGGCTGAAAAAGCATATAATAATGAATCGAACGTAGGTGCAGCCGTTGACAATGCTAATACAGCACTGTATAACGCGAATTCTATTACTAGTCATGTATCGAACATAATTAGTTCCTCGAACGAGACTCAGCTTTTCGATAGTGAAATAGAAAATCTATCATTTATCAATGGTACCTTACGAACTGGATCTCTTAACGAAGTCGAACAGTCGCTCAATTCTAGTGTCGCAACCACGCAATCGGAAGCTATTGAACTAGCTATAGCGTCTGAAGAGGAAATACCTTCACCTTGGATAGACGTCACGGCACTGGCGACTCCATCTGCTTTAAGGAGACAGTCTTGGTCAGAATTAAATGCTTTTCCGACGGCGGTTCATTCGCTAGTTGACCTAGTTGAACCAGAGCCTTATCCACTGGAACTAGAAAACCAATTAGAATCGTTGCAACATTTGGACAACGTTAATTTGGTAGACGTAGAAAGTATTACCACAAGTACAGAAACTACGCATTGCCAAGAGAATATCAATGACAGGCAAAGAGAAGATAGCGTAAAGATGAAAAAGAGCAGAAACGTTTTGCAAGAGATTACAGCCGAAGCTGACATATGCAGATGTATCGATTGCAAATGCGACCACGTGAAAAATTGTCAAAATTGCACGAATAGTCCAGTAACGGAAGCTAATAAGAAGGATGTGCTACCGAAAGTAGTAAACGATTTCGTGTCTTCTTTGCAAACCGAATGTCTTTGTGACAGCGAGCCTGGTGGCTCTGGCTCCTGTTGCGTCGTCATTTGTTTGAAAACGTTACAGCAATTACAAAAAGTATTCAGCCGTAATTGTTGTAAGAGTACTAGCGATGTAACGTGTTGTAGAGAAAAATTGATCCCGTCGTTGATGAAATGTCATTTAACGAGAAACCAATGAAACAAATGTTTTATTATACAACTAGTCATGCCAGGAGAAACATATTTTTGCATAAATCATTAGTAAGGATTTGTTATTTATAGTGATCTATAGATTAGCTTGCTTAGCTTTAAACGCGATTTTTCACGTAAATGTTAACTTTAAAAGATGTTACCTAGGACAAATTGAGAGTATGGGACTGTATGTACATACCTGTACTATATATTTCAAGCAGAGTTGGGCATTAGTCGACTAATTATTCTCAACTACGCACAGCTAATCGTAATTGTCGATCGTTACTTTAACTGAAATTTGCCCAACACTGATTTCAAGAGACTTTATCGTGTAGATGCAATATATAGAGTTTATGATACATTTTATTGCGTGCCAACATATTTGTAGATTTTTTACTTAAAACCTTTTATGTATACAATATCGCTGTTGCATAGTTTATAGAAAGGAAAGGCTCTATTGCTTTAACATATTGAACAGAAATAAAATATTGATATTTGAGAGAAATTTTATAATATACAAAGGTTCACAAAACGTGTGACGTTTGTATCGTGTTATATCAAATTTGAAACTTAAATGTTAAATGGATTGGTATATTATATTTTTTATGTACAAATATCATGTTCGTACATAACGATGGTTGTAAAAGATTTAAAATCATAGTTTTATGAACGAATGATATTCATTAATTTACGTAGTATTTATTTAAAAAGAGACCATCGATTATGTGTAGTATACTAAATACATTAGTTAGTAGCTAAAATAAAATATTTATTGTTTAATAATTGTTTCCTAATGCAAAATAATTTCCAAATAATTATAAAAGTAAATCAGAATAATATAACGAAACAAGTTTTATAATTTTAGCGTGAAATTTTGTATGGCTGTTATAAGTACTTGTTCAATGCAACAAAATCAATGTACCTAAATAGTTTTTAGACGAGAGAGAAATTTTATTGTGTTATCGTTAAGTATAATTTGACTAACATTTAATAAATTATGATACAAAGTCATGTACTGTTATTTTCTTCTGTGATAAAAGTCATGTATGTAACTTAGTAATATCTTTTTTATTGTTACTGCACTTTTATACAATACCGTGACAGAGATGCGATGAATACATGCTCTAAGATCGAATAACAGATAATGATTTTACATTTACACAATGTTTGCATAATGCTTATGGCGCAGCTTGTACTAAAGCTTCTGCGACTTCGACGGCAATGGCTGCTTCAGCTTTGTCTTGTTCAGACGACGCGGACGAAAGTTGTTGCTGAGCTTTGCTCAGTATGTCTCTGGCTGCTGAACTATCAAGATTATCTACAGGATGCGCTTCCTCTGCTAAAATCTATGCAACCATTAAAAATGCTTATTATTAACATATTAACAAAGATTGAAAGGACATCTTGATATTTCCTGTTTTTCTTTTTTTTATATCATATCATCATACAATGAATATACCTGTACACTGTTATCCTCATTTATAGTAACTGTTCCAGAAGAAACAAAAACCTTCTTAGTATCACCACCTTCTTCGTATACTGTCACTACACCAGGTTTAAGCACAGCTAACGTAGGAACGTGCTTTGGTAAAATACCGAATGAACCAGAGAACGACGGTACGTCCACTTGTTTGATAACTGCTTGGTCATAAAATACCTACGGCAATGTTATTACAAAATTTATATACTTGAATTTTGAAAAATACTTTTTTCAAAAATTATATATATATATATTTATACCTGATTAGCTCCAGCGAAAGTAAACTTCATTTGATCGCTAACAACAGGCGCATCAGCGTAAGTTCTTTGCTGATTGCGAACGTACCTGAGATACGGGCGCAAATTACGAGCGAGAGTGGCCATTTTAACGTTCTAAAACAAAAGATCATTCGTGAAATGTACAAGAATTACTATAAAAGACAAAATTTTAATTCGAATGATAGGTAGAACTGATTACATCACAAGATCGACATACATTCATAACCCATCTTTAATAATCGTGCACATTAAAGACTAAGTTGTATGAATGAATACAAATTTATCTGTTCTTTTTATATATAAGTTCAACGAACTTACCGTGCGTTTGGTCAGCTATGTTTCGCACAGTAATTTACTTATAGCAGATATTACAAATATAAGTAGAGATTATATGTTATTCAATGCAGCTCGAAGCAGCAAGAACCACGGACGTACGAATATAGAGACGGTCATGTCGGCATTAGTCAGGAAGGGACGTGGTGTGCGATATGAAGCTACGAGAGAGCTCCGTCGGTCATCTTATATTGCCAAATTAAAGCGGAAAGTTTAAATAAGACAATAATTGAAAATATGTGTACATGTTTGTGAAAATACATTTTTAGAATTTCAAAGTATGAATATCTAATTTTTTATTATAGTTTGTTACTTTTTGTAATCTACCAATGGTTCCAATGTATCTACTTTCTCTTAAAAACTGTTCGAATAACTAAGCAACTACTTTACATATGAGCGTGATTGTTTATGATGCACTTTCTATTAACTTTCTTTCATTTCTTGTCAGATTTCCCATTAATTTCCCTTCATATCCTGCAACATTTCCCATTAAATTCTCTTCGTTTCCCGGCACATTTCACCTTTAATTTCTCATCATTTCCTGATACGTTCCCCATTCATTTCCTTACATATTTCCTTTTAATTTCCCTTCATTTCCTTACATATTTCCCCTTAAATTCCCTCCATTTCCTGGTATATTTCCCTTTAATTTCTCTTCATTACCTTACACATTTCCCTTTAATATTCGTCCATTTCCTGGTATCCATTTCCCTTTATTTCGTGGTACATATCCCTATAATTTCGCCTCATTTCTGTGATATTTCCCTATAATTTTGCCCCATATCTGTGATATTTCCTGAATTAACAATGTTGCTAATGGCTTCGCTCAAAACTTCAACAATGTTGCAAAGACGAGTCAATTTTTCAGATTTTGACACATTTTTCCGAACGTCTGAGTTGCCGCTTTGTTGTACTTCTGAGCATTGCTCGTCGGTTCGGTTATCATCCCATAGGTGCAGAGGTACCCCTTTTATGCGGCAACCTACGTTTACCGGCTTATCGTTTCGGTTGTCATCTCGTAGGCGCTATAGTGCCCCTTTTGTGCGGCAACCTACGCTTGCCGGCTTGTCGTTCTGGTTATCATCTCGTAGACGTAAGAATCCACTTATCTTGCAGTCTTGCAGATAACATAAAGGTTTTAATTTCGCACACTCGGTGGCGTCTGTAGCGCAAACGCAAGCGTGCCATTTTTAATTAACATTGTTATACTAATACTAGTTTAATTGCCAATCATGCGTGCAACTCGTTAAACATACAATATTGCATAACTCGTTTATGACAGGGCAAATAATCTGTTTGAAAAATATTTGTCCTGGAAAACTTTAACGTAATATGAGAAATCCTATTAATATGTTATCTGTAATACAGTCAAAGATCTTATCCAAAGACAGAGTTTACATGTGAAAGCTTTAGTTGATATCAACTATGAAGAACCATGCCATGTAAGCAATTTAACAGTATTACTATAATTCTGAGTAAGATGAGAACTGATGTTCGACTTTTGAAACTGGCTGTACAGGAAGGTATATAATGCTATGTGAGAAGTGCATACATCACATCAGTCCGCGCTCGACCAGGGGAACATTAACGTAGTGTTGTGCCGTGCATCAACTGATCAACATGTGCTCCGAAAAGTCACCGCGAATTCTTTCGATACAAAGTCACGTCGTGTTCGGTTACGTTGGCAATAAAAGTGCAACATTTCCATTACAGGTGAACGACACACCCACGTAACATTAATCCGTCATCCATATACGTTGGTACGACATTCACCATATCACCAACATTCTTCGCTTATCTCCAGTCATTTACCTATATACCTACGAGCTACGAGCATCCTCATTTGCTGTAAATTCATTTATGATTTCAGACATCAACTTTTATAGTATTAAATAGAAATTAGAATCATTATTGTGAAAATGATATAAAAACGCATCATATCTTATCATTCTTTTTTAAATATGAAATGTTATAAAATAATATAATTTAAAAGTATAGAGTGATAAATTAATACGAATGTGACATAATATACATCAAATACTATAATGAAGAAAAAAAACGGATAATTCTTTCTGTTAAGTTATTAGGATTCGAGGTAGATGCAATTAATTCTGTGCAACTGTCCAATCATACTGGATACAAGGTCTTTAAAGGTCAAATACTTGATGATAAAGACTTAGGTAAGATAACATGAATTTAAAGGGCAGATGATACTATTGTACTTTTAAGAATTTTTTTACATTTTTCTAATGTTAATGGTAATTTTGTAGAAGACTTAATGGATGGTTTAGCACAAAATGATTTAGACAATTACACTCATTTGCTCACTGGGTATGTTGGCTCTGCTTCATTTTTAAAGAGAATAGCAGGAGTGGTTCGTGCCTTAAAAAGTAAAAACCCTCATCTCAAATATGGTAAATAAAATATAAATATATTAGTTAAAATAATAATGGACTTCGTATTAATCACGTATTTTTCAATATTAGTATGTGATCCTGTTATGGGAGACAATGGAAAAATGTATGTTCCTGAAGAGCTGAATGAAATTTATAAAACAGAGATAGTGCCACTGGCAGACATTGTAACACCAAATCAATTTGAAGTAGAGTATGTTAAATATTTATATAAATTGGATACAAATGAAGCAACAACAGCACTAATAATGTTAATTATTTCAGACTACTAACTGGTAAAAAGATCAGTACAATGTCTGAGTTACAAAATGCTGTAAAAGAATTACACAAAGTTGGTCCTAAAATAATAGCTGTCTCATCGTCAGAAATTAGTGATACTTTAACGGCGGTGTTCAGCACAATAAAAAATAATACAATTTTTCCGAGCGCAACAGAGAATTTGCTATACAAAATCGAAATACCAAAAATACCAGCTAATTTTACGGGTTCCGGAGATCTCTTTGCTGCCTTGTTTTTAGCTCACACGTACTTAGAAGACAGTTTAAAAGATGCTATTCAAAAGACTATGAATTCGCTATATAGCGTACTATTAAAAACTTACGATTACTCCAAAGGTATTTATTTAAATTATTTCTTTATATAAAAATATTTAAAAATAATAACTTCTTTTAAAAATGTTCGTTAGCATGCCAAGACAAGGAATTACAACCTGCAAAGAAAATTGAGTTGCGCTTAGTACAAAGCAAAAATTGTATTGAAAATCCAGAAATGCGTCTTCTTGCCGAGCCTCTTTAACTCCGGTACTGTTCCAAATATGTGTAATTTTAAACTGAGTAAAAACTAATGTTGTGTTAACAATATTATGAATATATTTACATGTATAAACTATAGTAGTATTACTCGCAATAATTTTTTAATGTCAAACGAGGTACAATATTCATGGATTGTAACTCTTGGAAAAGTAACTTGCAGGCATAGGGCATAGAAATCGTGGAAACACACGAACTGGAACGACAACTGTGACACCAACCGCTATACGCCATCAGACCACATTTGTTACACACATCAACATCGAACGCATCGCTAGATATCATGAGTCTCTCAATCAACATCATGCTAGCACCGTATCCAATCAAACAATCACGTTCCATTTCACCTAATCGTAAACCTCCTTCTTTGGCGCGACCTTCGGTTGGTTGACGCGTTAACACTGCTCTTGGTCCACGAGCGCGGGCATGCATTTTGTCTTGTACCATATGCTTTAACTTTTGATAATAAACCTGTATTTTTAAATGTATATATAGTACAGTTTTATAGATATGAGTTACAGAATTAAGTGAGATATCGACTTACCGGTCCTGAATAAATATACGCCTGCAATGGTTCTCCTGTAATACCAGAATAAAAGAAATCTTTACCCAAGTAGTTGTAACCATGTTTTACTAATTCTTGGCAAACATCTTCCACTTTTGAACCACCAAAGGCTAAATTAAAAGTATGTATTATTATATATACATTGTTATAACGGTCATTAAGAAGGAAACATTTATTATAAATATACCTGTGCCATAATGAAACTGGCCTTTCACAACCCCAGCTTTTCCAGCGAGTAACTCTATCAATTTTCCGACCGTCATACGCGAAGGAAACCCATGCGGATTCATGATCATATCAGGACATATACCGTAGTCGTTAAATGGCATATCTTCTTGCTCCACGATCAAGCCTACATATAGATTCAAGTAATAAAAACGGATGCTTGTAAGTTTACATAATGATAAGATGAAACACGTACCAGTTACACCTTTTTGTCCGTGTCGACTACTAAATTTATCGCCAATCTCGGGTCGCCGTGTTTGCCTTAACAATAATTTAATCAGAAATGCATCTTCTGCATTACTGGAAATCATGACCTTCTCAATATATGCAGGAACAGGGCCTTTAAATACAACTGGAACCTCTTTGTACTCGGTTTGTGTTTGTACGTTACCAGAGGTCACTGGACCAATATTTGCGGAAGGAGCAGATTTATTTACCATTACCTGGGAAGAAGAGAAGGACATGACTCTTTTGTTTATATTAATACATCTAAAGCTTCGATCTTTAGAACTTAACCTTTCTATTTTCCGCCATTTCACCAGGTGCAGCAATTCCATCGCTATCGATAATATCGTGTTTCCAAACTGGTTTCTTTGTATTTGAATCTATTAATGGACCCATTATTCGATCGTATGTTTGATTGGCGTATCTTTTTAACGTACACTTTGCATTTCGATAAATCAAACATCTTCCAAATCCTCTATCGATCGAAGCTTTATTTAATATGAGAGCATCTTCGATATCGTAACCGCTATACGACATGACAGCCACTGTTGCATTTTGACCAGCGGGTAATTTATCGAAATTAATCAGTTCTATCGTTCTAGATTTCACCATAGGTGCTTGAGGGTATACTAAATTATACATCAACGTATCGATACGATTGCGTTGATTATAAGCGATGGTTCCCATGGCTTGTTTACCCATAGCACATTGATAAGTATTTCTTGGACTTTGATTATGATGAGGGTACGGTACTAATCCAGCACAAACTCCAAGTAACGTAAACGGTTCAATCTCTAAGTGTGTTGTTTTGTTATGAATATGGGATTCGTCGAATGCAATAGTGCTATCGTTTTCTTCGTTCACGTCCAAATACTCGATTAGACCTTTTAATAATATTATAAGTATATGTATATACACAGATACAGTTAAAGAAGTTTTATTTTTAAAGCACTAACCATCTTGTAGAAAATCTTCGAAACATCGTACACCTTGCTCAAGCAATTTGATGTGTTCCTCTTGTACAAGAGGTTCTCCATTTTGTACAATAATATATGGTCTGCACAATCGTCCACCATCAGAACTGATTTGAATGCATCTAAATTGAAGTAATGAAATTATAAAGAAACTGCAGTGTTACGTGTTGATTTAATTTTCCGAGAAATGTTACCTGTGCTGATGTTGTGTATGTATTGAAACAAAACCATTTATAAGGCCTTTCCTACGTAGCAATCGGAAGACATTTACCAGTCTCTGATAGTTTTTGACTACACCCAAAATATTACCATTTAGAAAAACCATGTAAACATCTTTATTATTGATTTCCTCGCCGCCAAGAATATTTACATTTTCGACACCTAAGTTGAATGCTAACCTCACAATTGGTTCCTCTTCGATTTCTGTAGTAATATGAGTCATGAGAGCCAAATTTTTTACTAAACCACAACCCTGCAGAAATTTTGTTCATAAATAATTTTGTTTAATTTCTGATTATGTTCAAAGTTCATGTATAATACTAACTTCTCCCTCAGGAGTGTCGCTGGGACATAGCATTCCCCATTGCGATGGTTGCAAAGATCGCGGACCAGATACTTTCCTGGTTTTTTCAAACTGAGAGTTAACTCGTGTCATCATACCCAGTGCAGAAATATAAGAGAGTCTAGACAACACTTGAGTGACGCCATGGCGTTCCATTTTGAATCGTTTAATCGTCCAATTACCCTAAAAAGACAAATATTTACTTTGTTTAGTATTCTTGATTAAAGAAGCATTATTAACTCACGGAAGATATAGCAAAGGCTAATCCATTGGTAATTTGATCCTGTCTCATGTGCTTCACAATATCAAATTGAGCAGCTTTAATTTTCGGTATATTTTTGTCAGCAATTTGCTTTAACTGTAAAAATATTGTAAATCATAATCTGTGTTATAATATCTTTGTAATAAAAACAATTTAATATTATCGTATATTACCTCCCAATTGAATCTTTTAAACAAATCTTCAAACATTAAAGATAGTAGAGAACCCGCCAATTCTAATCGTTTATTACCATAATAATCTCTGTCATCTACAAGTTTACCGTCGGTTTGTGCTTTCATGACTTTGCGAATCATCAAAGCAATGTAAGTTGCTTTCACTTTAAAATTAAAATCTACAACCTGTAATAACAAATATTTTATAGTACTATTGCATCACTTCCAAGGGGTAGAAATTATATTTAAATTACTAACAGGAACATGAGATAAAACGTTTGTTGCTAATATGTCTTTCATTTCATCTGTGATGCTAGCCTTTATTACTGAATACCTCTTTTGTTTTCTTTTATTACTGAGAAACCTGGAACATATGTGATCAATATTCACAATGCTAATAGCTTTACATATAAACAATTTACCTCAATGCTTGATTTTGAGCGAAAACATTTAAAACGTGAGACTCTTCCAAGCTGGGTGCAAATTTTTTCATAAATTCTTCTTCTGTACCAATCAGTTGCATGATTTCTTGATCGCTCACAATTCCCATTGCTTTAAATACTATTGTCACAGGAATATCCTTACAATATAAAACATCTTATCTCATGAAAAATATATCATCCATAAAATCATATTTCATTTATACAAGACAATACAAGTAATTTTTACTTACATCCTGAAAAATGTTGTGCCTCATGTAATATCTTCCAGCCTTACCTACAATATTAGTTTTTGTTTTCCTTTCGTGAGTAGAACTGTTACAAGATGCTACAATACAATTCTTAGTATCTTCTTCTAAAATAATTCTATTTCTAAGCATTTGCTCCTGTATAAGAATTACTTTCTCCTGTCCATTTACTACAAAATAACCACCGGGATCGTGAGGACATTCATTCATTTTTGCTAGTTCAAAATGAGATTTCCCATTTAATACACAGTTTGAACTTCTTAACATAATTGGCATTCTGGAAAGCAGTAACCAATTCAATTTATTATATGCTTATCATTTGAAATATATTTACCAAAACATACCTCCCAATCAATAAGTTATTTCTAATTATTGGCTGATGTCCTCTGATATATTCAATATCCACTGTGATAGGGGCAGAATAATTTAAATCTCTCAACCGACATTCGTGTGGTGTTGTAGAGCGAGTCACATTGAAACCTTCTTCCACATCTGGCGATCCAACATGTACATTTAAATATCTGCAGTACAAAATAGGTGGTTAATTGTAAGATCTATAATATATTTTGATGTAATATACAAACATAACAATGCTTACTTTACATAAAACAGAGGATCAGCATCGCTAAGTACTTTTTCATTTGCCTTTACAATCTTTTTTATCTCTACATTTATAAAATAATTAAAGGAATCAATGTGTTGTTTCACGAGACCTTTTCCCTTAAGAAAAGCAGGTACAAGTTTCCACTTATCCTATAAACAAATGATTGTATTAAGGTATCTACTAGAATACAATAAACAAATACCCTAACCTCTCTCGTACCTGTATATGCTTTACTACTTTATTATATTTTTGTTCAGATTTAATGCCATCGTGGGTACCAAATTTCATCTCACCCATTTTTACATGTACAAATTCTTTTACCGTGTATCAAATGTAAACTTCATAAAGGTGATATATACTTATAGTACACAAGCTGTTGTTAGACTAAAAGTGGATATAACCTAATCTTGCATTTGAGGTACGGACATATGTTACCTGCATATATTAGATGTACTCTATTGCATAAGACCTTTATAACGAATAAAAAATGACTTCAAAATTCTGATGGATTTCTATTTTTATTTATAGAGAAATCACATGGTACTAACATAAATCAACATAAACTGCAATGGAAACTCATACATTAAGATGATCCCAGAAATTTCATACGATTGCAATTTAAGCAAATTTTACTTTTGTTTCTCCTTTTTAACTTCCTAATACTTTTAACAAGAAATTAAAAACGTTTCAAATGCGATAGATATCCAAATTTCTGTACGTTAATAAAATCTTTAGTCATGTTGCTTATTGATATGCACAAAAAAAAGTGTGACATTTCATCACACTCGATATGCTAAGTAATTCCCTTATCATGTTTACACTTAATCGTGTGTAGTTCCGTATACAGTTGCAAAGAATACTTGGCATATTAAATCTTTAAGAATATGAATCTCTCTATTAGTAAATTTACAAGATCGCTGCTTCAGAATTACTCAAAATGGAATAGCGAATTATTTAATGTAAGATGTTCTTCGCAATATTACAAGATAGACGAGAATATCTGTGAATTGAAAGATCAACAGAAACAGGTTAGTATTATAGAATCGTAACAAAATTAGGCTGCCATATAAACGGCGTCAAGTTCAACGATTACGCACGCGCATTATTCTTAAGACGATCTACCAAACCGTCGATCGATAATTTTCAAATCTGTCCTCGTTTATGCGTAGCATTTAATTTAAAACAATTAAATGGGATATTTTCTTTTACAGCTACGACAATTGGTTTTTAACGTTGCTCAAAAAGAGCTTGCCCCGAAAGCTGGTGAGATCGACAAGAAGAACAATTTCGATGATTTACGAGTGGGTAACAAAATATTTAACAAATTCGGAGGCGTGTAAATTTTTGTAATTTACAAAATTGATTTCTAGTCATTCTGGAAAAAACTAGGAGAATTAGGCTTGCTGGGAATAACAGCGAAAACAGAATATGGTGGAACAGGTGGCACGTACTTGGATCATATCATTATTATGGAAGAATTGAGCCGAGCATCGGCGGCTATCGGACTCAGTTATGGCGCACATTCGAATTTGTGCTTAAATCAAATTCACAGAAACGGCACGGAGGAACAAAAGAACAAATATTTGCCGAAGGTTATTTACGTTCTTTTAAATAAAACTTTCATTTTATATTCGTTTAAAAAATGTAATAATCATTGATATAGTTGTGCAGCGGAGAACACATCGGAGCACTCGCCATGTCGGAGCCAGGATCAGGATCTGATGTAGTTTCCATGAAACTGCGAGCAGAAAAGAAAGGAGACTATTATGTTTTGAATGGTAATAAATTTTGGATCACGAATGGCCCTGATGCCGAAACTCTCGTCGTTTATGGGAGGACGAATCCAAATACCGACAAACCACAGCACGGAATCACAGCGTTCATCGTAGAACGCGGTTTCGAAGGTTTCAGTACAGCGCAAAAGTTAGATAAAATGGGAATGCGAGGTTCCAACACGGCTGAACTTGTTTTCGAAGACTGTAAAGTTCCTGGTAAGTTCGTCGAGCATATTCTAAGACTATATATAACTTATACATTTTTTGTTTTTATCTTCAGCGGGAAATGTGCTTGGAGAAGAAAACAAAGGCGTATACGTTCTTTTCAGCGGTTTAGATTTGGAGCGACTAGTACTGGCGGCTGGCCCTTTAGGGTAAGAATCCTTCAAGTTCCTAATTATTTTTCCATTATTTTATGGAACACCATGATTTAATGCATCGAATGTTAGAATTATTCAGGCGTGTTGCGACGTGACATTCGACTACGCCCATACAAGAAAACAATTTGGAAAACGCATCGCGGAGTTCCAGCTTATACAGGTACAATATTAAATGATTTACACAACCGCAGTATAAATGAAAATGTTAATGATGTTTCAGGAGAAGATAGCAAATATGTATACGAGTTTGAGTGCCTGCAGGAGCTACTTGTACTCTGTAGCAAGGTCTTGCGACGCTGGACACGTGAATCGGAAAGATTGCGCAGCAGTGATACTTTTTCTTGCTGAAAGCGCCACAAAGGCTGCCTTAGACGCGATTCAAGTACTTGGTAAATTATTTCAGTTCAATCCTCTGCGAAAGTTCGTCGACTATGAACGTTTATCTGAATGTTTGTAATTTACACTAGGTGGAAACGGGTATATAAATGATTATCCGACTGGAAGACTCCTGAGGGATGCTAAACTGTACGAGATCGGCGCTGGTACCAGTGAAGTTCGCCGTATGGTAATCAGTAGAGCAATCAGCGAAGAATATTCGTGAAAAGAGATGTTAGTCCTTTTTGCTGGCGCCTACGAACTTTGTACAGCATTCAAGATAAACGATTAAGTTAAGGATTTAAAAAGTATAAGCTTCATCCTTGGATTTACACGAATTTCTACTACTTTTTACAAAGAAAATAAAAATATATTTCATGCCCATCAACGGAAATTGTCCTTCGGCACGGTCGCATCGAACTTCCATCGTATGGCCGACCTAAATTATTTTTAATTCTTTTTTCCGAGCTTCACTCCCGCAACGTGGATCCATTCTTAGCGACCAAGCAATCCGTATCATCCGGACGGCGTATCGATAGGCGATTAATAGGTCATCAGCATTGGCAATCAGCATATCATTCTGATCGATGTGTATACACATCTTTCTTAGGATCGTGTAAATCGAGATAAATGAGTCACTAGAACGGTCCAGTCTCGAGACTATGATTGACTAACCTTTCGCGCTATAGGTTGCTAATTTAAGTCAAACTTACGTACACTCTCTTCCTCTCGTTTCATCACAGCTACTCTCTTTTGCTCTTCCCCCTTTCCCTCTTGATCTGGTCTCATTAATCACAGTGCAGTCGAACTAATTAGATTGAGGAGGCACGGCAAGGGAGAGAAGCTCGCGGGCTCTCGCAGACGTCACTCGGTGAAAGCGCGTCGGCGAAGGAAAAAGGAGGAACCGAAGTCCGTAAGATTCACTAAAAGAAGATGGCCCTTAAGTTCTCCATAAGCAGTTATTACGAAACCTATGTGAGTACGCGGCAGAACGAACCGACCCTGGACACTCCGTTCCTCTGTGATGTACGGTGACGTTCCCAGCTGGATCATGTTTCATCCTGCATTATTTTTCTCACGGCGATTTACCTTTTTCCTTCGTTGTTTTGGCAAAGAAACCCGTCGTAGCGTAAGAGTGTCGATCCAGCTATACAATTCAAATCTTTATTCTCGTCCTGCTTGATGACGTGTAGGCCTGTTGTACATGTACAAAGTATGCCTTAATTTCGATCGTTATTTAACACTCCATTAGTAGAATAGTCGGTTAAAGTGTACCATTAAATTTTTATTCAATTTATGTAGTTTTCTTTTTAGTCTGAAAGAAGGCCGTACATATACCAGTGTCTTTCTAGTGCACATATCATAAATAAAATATAATAGCAGGGCTATCTATAAATATATTTGCAGAAATTTATGTTCGTGTATTCAATCTTGTCATCTAAATACGCGTTTATAGATACAACTTATTTTTATCGCGTCGAGAAATTGTTCAATGAACACAAGGGTGAACGAACTTCTCAAGGGAATGAATCGAACGACCACAGAGATGCTTTTCAATTGTAACATGACGAAACTTCAATTAGCGTTGAACCGTTACGTGACACTTGTTCTGTTGCAAGAAGATGGTTAATGTCAAAAAGTTTAATATAATCAAAATATTTTCCATCGAACAATAAATTGGACTGATTAAGCTAGCTTACAAGAAATTTTGTTAAATTTAAGTGTGGAACATGAAATTGTTTAATTCGAGAAACATAACTATGGGAACTTTCCTATGTAAGATGGCCGATGGAGTTGTTTCTGCATTTCCTATGAAAAAGTAAACAAATAAATATCGAGTTTCGTACGAGATTATCAGTCCCCATGGCAGCGAAGTCAGGGAGGCCGATAAATGCCAGAGAAACGAGTGCAGGTCGGGACAGAACAATACACACGCAGTATGCCAATTCGAAATGGGGCCAGAATAGCAGAAGCGGCGGGCCGGCTAGTTGGGTAACTAAAGCTCGCAAGAAGTAAAGCCTGTCAAAATCAAGTGGCTGGTGCAGCCCAGTAGTTCTCGTTTGCCAGTAAAGAGCGTAAGCCGCTTCGATATCGACTCGTCGCGGATTCGCGCCGTCTCTGTGATCCCTTTTCGGCCGTCTTCTCGTTATTCATCGAGCTTCTCCCCTTTAATCCACGGGGGCTTTTCGCGCCCACACGCGCTCCTCTGGTTCTCTTTCGCGCGTTACATCTCGCGTCGTTAGGTTCTCTGGACGCCAGACCGTACGGGGACTCCCCATCATCGGTTTCTGTGTCCGTTCTAAACGCGCGATTGCGTTGTTGTGACAGACGGAGTAGAGCATGACGAGGAAACAAACGGTGATCGTGAAGCTTAAGAGATCCAGCGCCGGCAAACCTTGGGGGATACGTATCGCCGGAGGCGCTGATTTGGGCACGCCGATCGTCGTCACCCGCGTGAGTTCCATTTTTTTCTCCCCCTCTGAACACCATCGTCATCTCGATAGTTTATCCTGAGAACCATCTAACCACCTCTTTTTACATTTGCATCGTTTTTTTTCTCATTTTTGTTTCCTTTCGCTCTCCTTAAAATGTTATTGTTCTCTGAGTATTTCCACTTTCTTTTGGCAGATGGAAACAAATAACTGTGTTTGAGTTTAAGCTTGAGACATTGTGAATAATAGCCAATATGTTATCTACGTTAATTATAATGTCTTAACGTAGTACGATAACAACATAATATTTCTGCCATGGACGTTACAACAGTTTCATTCATTTGTGAGAATAAAAGAAGTTTAGCAGAACTGGCCAGGTTTTACCACCTTGATGAATATACGACGTTGTTCCAGTCGATCATTCAATTATGTAGCTGCACCCTTCTGGCACTAAACCACCGATTTCTTCGAGCCAGGGCTGTCCGATACGTACAGTAATATATTACTATGTAGATTCACACGCGTTGCCGCCCGTGCAGTTATTATTGGATGTGTACGGCAAAGCAGTAGTACCTACAACGGAACAGCAGGGGATCAAGATTATTTTCTAACGCAGACAACCTCCTACCAATACCATAATATTTATCGCGTTGAAAATACATTGTCCATCTTCATTTTGCCGCCCCGTGAATCTCTATTTTCTCGGAACGGCAAAATACAAGTGTAGAATTAATTTCATTAAAAGAACATAGACTACAACTTTTATTTTATAGAAATGAATAATTGTAGATATAATTTTTGAACTTAACACTGTTATTTACGTGTTTTGACATTGGAAATCCGATGAAAAACAAGACTTGCATTGCGACAGAGATTCAACCAGTAGAATAATAACATTTTAGAAGGTTCTGGGTATTCAATTTACCGCTCATCCATCTACCTGTCACGTGTGGCTCGATCTCGTGTATCTTCTCGATCCTCTCAGTTTCATTCTTTCTTGCACGATTCGAACGTAAAAGGTGGGAGCCATAAACACGTTTGGACATGATCCAACCATATACTTTTCATCGTAGATGCACAATTATACGTTACTGTACGTATCGAGTCTTTTCTATTTTCCATTTCTAAGTAATAAACATATAACACATTAAACCATAGAGGAATAAATAACCAAGTATTAATTTCTCAATTATTTCTACTGCCAAAAAGAACTACTAACTTAATTTGCCACGTATGCGCAAGGTAGGTGCGCAGAAAGTATTCACCTGAGAGTAGAAGCGAATCGAATGTTTGAAGGAAATCGGTTTTTGTGTTTGCAGTCGGAGAACGAGGCGCTCCAGAGGGGTGACGTGATCAAGAAAATCGACGATTACGACTCGCGAGACGTGAGGCACGTAGACGCCCAGAATCTCCTCCAAACCTCTGAATCCATAAGGCTTGTAATCGAAAGGTCTGACCAGTCGAGTGCGTCTCGTACCAACATTACCACGTCACCTCCGATTATCAAGCCGATCATTGGCAACAGGGCTGCGGTCACTAGTCTGTCAGAAAGCAATTCCTTCTTCATTATTATGAGCTCAGTTTGCCGTAACGCTACCGCCGCGCTACGCTGCATAACAGAACTATCGAGGGCCAGGGGATTCCCATTGAAAAGACAGAAAAGTTTAGGTGCATGCTTTCAGTAAATCCAATTTAAAAATTCTAATGGGAATCCCCGTTCGACGCTTCACATTAAACTCTGTCTTTTCTTTTCTCGCACTTATAATCGCAGCGCCTGACAGCTCGCAGCATCCAGAAACATCTTCGTTGTCTCGACAACCACTTTCTTTGATGTAAATCCTCGGTCTAAATGAAAATTTCACTAAATATTTCTCATAAAGCATACTTTTTCTGGCTGAAAACTTGGATCACGTTTGCTTGGAATGCTGCACGAAGGTATAAATGATTAAAAAGTGGTTGTCGGGCACACAAGATTCGCGAGAGGTGTCCGTTTCACGTTGACTTGTTACTAGGATGTTTCTGTTTCACTCTAGACCCAAAAAACAAAAAGTACCGACGGAGTTGCCGAAGAGTCCTGTGCCTCCACCGTGCTACGACGAATACAGTCGACCTTCGACTCCTCAGGAACCGTTTACCTTGCCCCACGATCACCTGGACGAGATTCGCGAAGAAAAGGTCCTCAGGTCGCAGGTACGTCGAAATTAATTTATTACTTGAGCAAGTCCATCAAAGCGTTCGTATCTACAAAATCGAAAATAATAAAAAGAGTAAGCGAACTAACATCAGAAACAATTAATAGAAGCGAAACAAGACGACAGATGCTCGAGATCGGTTTGAAAACAAAACCGAATTATCCTGGGCAGCCCATGTGCAGCCTACCGATGCGATTCAGACGATTTCAATCGCCTGTTGTACTCTATAACGGGGTCGATTCTTGGAAGCGACGTGAGAATTTGCTTCCTGAAATCGAAATTGTAAACGCGGCCTAGTTAGTTTAAACTTCCTGGGGAGTTCGTTGATCCGTAAATATAACATCTCGTGTTACCAAACGGCCGAGGCAATCACGCGACCGAGGTATATGTATATTTCGAAAGGTTGCTGAGAGCACTTATTAAACCCTGGTGGCATTTATCTTCTCGAGCTCGTATTGTTTAAGATACTCTTTCGTGAAAAAACCGAAGAGTTTATTTAAAGTATTTATAGAATATAAGGAAATATTGAAGAGTGCAGAGATAAATGAGAATAAAACTATTTTGATTCCTCTACGATTTGAAAATTCTATTACAGTCATTCCTGATAAATATCTCAACGACAGTCCAGAGATCAAGGCTCCCTACCTCTGTTCTAATGGGAATCGACAACTTCTAATGAAATTGTGAGGGTGAACGCCAAAACCACTCGCTAAGTATAGAGCAAGACTGCTATTTCAACCGATACGACATGGTTCGTCCGTCGTTAATTCTGGCCTATATGTGGAGCCAACTATTTTTTATTCTATCATCGAATGTCTACAAATTGTATGAACGAAAGACGATACGGTTCACAGCCTCAGAATAGCCGAAATATATTTTGTTATGCGCTACGAATATAGAAGCTCCGACAAGTCCTATCGACATACTTTGGCTCTCCGCTTGTCAAATTAGAAAAGTGTCGCCGTGGAAAGTCCAACGATTCTCGAAGTTCTGAAAATAATTACAACACGCTACGGTTAACGATGAATTATTGGTTTCCAAAACGCTAAGGCGATCTGGCAAGTTGACCGTCGTCCCGAAATTACTCGTGCACTTTGAAATTCAATAACTCACGGTTGAATCGCTGCAGACCAGCAGGCTGACAGGATATTTGTCGAATTTAATACGCCAATTTCCGAGACCCGTTTCAAGATGTCGGCGAATCGCGAGGAAACTCCGAATTTCTATTCAATGACGACAGGAACTTATTCGAAGTTACCTAAGAATCGAATCGAATACAATTCTTAATTAAATAAAAGGATCGTACGAGTTGATTTGTTGTTGAACAATAATTTTAAAAAAGTACCGTTAATAGTGCTCCGGTCTCATGCAAGCCTCGCTTAGCTCTGAGTTGTACGCGCTCATTAAGTTGCAAGTTTATCTCTTTGTCAGAACAGGGAGGACTATTTGTTCATTCAACTCTAGCTTTCGCTCCGGCTGTTAATCCATCCGTTTGCACGGTTGTCTCCTCAACATATTACACTGGCCTTCTAGCTGCCCGAGCCAGTTTTTTATGGCCTGTCTAATGTTCTCCGTGGCTCCTGCAAATGATAAAGCAGCGTTAATTTAATGACGTGTTTGATCCAAAATATTCATTCGATAATTTTCTGAATGGTTTACGTTCAGAGTTGATAAGATAAATGCCATAGTTCCAATCGCCAATTAATTTAAATAGTGGGTAACGATTAAATCTATAGTGTAATTACAATTTATGGTGGTGAATGGCGTAGTTTCGAGGAAAACCCGAACACGCCTTTATTCGAGGCATGTCCGAAGTGTGAATATATTTTTGTTGGCCCGCCACGATGCCGGAAAGTCCACGTAGAAGCGGTTGCCACGCTATAAATATCCCTTTTGCATCGAAACCACTGCTCTGATCCAATACTGCGCGATCCAGGACGATTTCGGTACACCATTTCGATTCCTAGTTACTCTCGTTATGTATTATATTACCTATACGTTACATAGACACATCGCCTAGGTTCTCAAACGAGCGTAAGCATACCTCTCCGTATCCAGTAATTAATTGGAGTTGGAAACCTGAAAACAAACGAGAAAAGAGTTTGTATTCTTTCACGTTGAAAATAAAGAAATACAACTTCCAATTAAGTATCCAAACTCTCGGACTCAACATAGTTTGTCCCCCATACAGACTCGCGTGGAGCGATCCAAGACTCTTCGAGTTCCATCGAGATCGATCGCGAGGGTCGAAGAGCGCACGAAGATTTATGGTAAACTTGGCAATCGCGATTCGTACGTGCTATCGTTAATTTCCTGGTGGAAAGGGATGCTGCCAAGGGAAACACTTTCCTCGGCGATAGTTGCTCAGGGTCGAGTGATCCATTAATCACGATGCTAGAGAACACTGGCTGACAATGGGTGCTTGAACGTGACCTTGCGGACAATAGTTCAGCGCGTATCTACCGTCGACGGAACGACTCACTCACTGAACGATCTTTAAAACAGCGATTTTAATAGCGATCCCTTAAACTTTCAAGCCTTCGAGATTTGGTCCAAATCCAAATGTGACGCACTGAGTCAAAAAATACCAGTTAAACGTAACAGAAATCCAGACTTGAAAGAATACGTAAGGCTATATCATGGATTCTTTTTAGAATCGCGAATCATCTTTTTTTGTTTCAAATACAGTAACCGATTTACTTAAGAAAATGCGGCGCAAAGAAGTTTTGGAAACGTACAGACGAGGGCAAAGAGATCGCGTGGCCGATCAAGAGGGTAAAAACGTAGGAGTGATCGAGATACGTCGGTAATACGCGGAGAGGTGAAGAAAGAGCGCGAGAGGAGTCGCGTGGAAAAGGCCAGAGTTAGTGCCGCCCGCGCAACGAACCAGTGCGTTAGCGAATATTCGTAGGTGAAGGATCATCCACGGAGAAAAAAGTGACAGGGTCCAGCCGCGTAGGAATAAACGAGGGAAAGCAGGCGAAGGGGATACTATTGCGCGCGTGTCATTTCCAGGAAGACAGGACCACGGTCTTCGGCTAGGAAACGATGCCAGCTTACACCACCGTTTATCGCCACACCGTCGAACATCATCCAAAAGAGGAAGAGGCTGCCGTCTACTGGGTACGAAACCTTTATTGCCAGTCGTAGGGAAACATTTTTAAACGCTTCGTTGCGCACCAGTAATCCAACGTAACGTTTAGAAGACGCAGGACCTATTTGGAGGCATAAATATTTTTGTTAGTAGGAACAATAACTCACTTGTCAGGATATCAGATGAAAAGCAAAGACACCGTACATACTTTGACACTGATGTGATAATATTTACCATTTTTTAAGAGCATTTCCTTCGTAGACCCTTCTAAAATATGCACAGTATATTTTTTTTAAAAGAAATTTGGAATTTTTATTTGTTTGGAATTATTGGTACCGAGAATGATTTTCTTGAAGCCTCGCTTTCACAAAATCCTGTTTCCAGAGAGAATGCTGTAAGAGGATATTGCGAAATAAGCGTGGACATTTTACGTTTTCGCGACTCGATTTTCCTCCAACTTCTTTTCCTCGTCCGTGAATTATTTTTAACTGCGACAACAATTTTGTACGACCCTCGAAGTAACGTGTCTGCGGACCGAAGTAGTTAAATGTACAAAATTTGTAACTATACCAAGCCGTTTATTTTTATTAAACATTTTCGACCATGTGTTCGTGAAATTTGAAATTGTAAATCCCCCGTCGTCAAGGTCAAAGTAGTACCAAGCCCTTTAACATCCACTGACAATACAAATCGAGCCGCACGACCTCGAATAACTCTTCGAGGTCCAGATCTTCTGAGTCACAAATACATGCGAAATTTTCCAGCCGCTGTTCGCTACTTCTGCAGATTTTTAATACTGCATTTCTTCCCTCTAAAAATAGCGAAAGTCGGTCCAACAATCGCGTCGAATAAACGACAGCGAAACGAAATGTAAGCCGATCTAGATTTCGAATAATGCCACGAGCCAACCTTGACATCATCCGACGAATGTGGGGCTAGGTCCCAAAGGCTGTACCGGTGACATTAAAAAAAGGACAGAGACGAATCTCTGGCGAGACGTAGCTTCGGGCGCAACCCCGTAAGAAGCAAACGGGAGGGGAGAAATGATCGAGTTGAAAGGAGAATTACACCGCAAGTACTACCGCCTAATAACACGGTGCAATAAAACACACGTAACCACGCTAACGGTGAGGCCGTTCATTGGTATCTTATTCTATTTTCGTGAACGAGATCTGGGTTACTCAAACACAAGAGGAACGACACACGCACACACGCATCGGACACCAACAGCACCCCCTCTTCCCCCCCCCCTCCCCCGATGGCGTGAGCTTTTTCGAAAGCGTCGTTCCGCCCCAAAAATTCTTTCGTCAGCGTTAAAAAAGAACTGGGTGTAAATTGAACGACATCTCGAACTGTGTATTTCAAGCGTCTCGGTATCGTGGGTACTGAACAGTTTGCCACTGATTCCAGAAAGGTCAAGGCGCATCGTTTCACTAGATTGTCAGAGTCGCTTTGAAGTTTATATGCTTGTTTGCGATTCGAAGGAGAAGGTATGGAAACCTCTATCGTAAGAAGCATCGTTGGTTTTAATAATCTGAATTTCGCGTTGTAGAGTTTTGTCGTTTTCGCTCGAACCTTGCCAAAATGTTCTAGAAAGATTTCCTTAGAGTTCAAGTTTCGCTACACCGGTGGCGAGCCAAGCAGTAAACACTTTTTGAAACAGCTGTTTCGTCGTAGCTGAATTTAGTTTCGGGGACATAGAGCGAAAGTGACGCTGAAACAACAGCTTCCTTGTTATATTATTATTTCTTGGAGACGTGTAATAATAGGCGAAGACAACGCTTTTGCGAAACGGACGATATTTCGTTAATTCCTATAGCGTTTAACTATTTATCCTTGTTATGAGTTCATAGCCATGCCAATATATAAACGAAAGTTGATACAAGACTATCGGAGGACCTAACGAGCATCGTACTATTTAAGACTCTAGTCCGAAACCATTTTCGGAAGTTAACAAAATTATTTAAAATAAAATAGCACCCTGTCTAAGAGACGCGTAGTTGTCTCCCACTACTTCTTGGAACAGCCTTGTTGCAACTGAGGCACAAATACGTATACAATTTTCTCTTTCATTTTTGAATCGATCTTGAATCGATGAGAAATTGTCAGGTGTTTTTCGCGACAGATCTCGTGGCACACGGGGTACGCGTTATTTTTGCCTGCTAGGGGCCTTCGTCTATTTCGAGAGAATCACTCTTGCTCATCCTATGGAAATGATGTTCCTGACCCATTTTTAATGGAGTCCTCGTTAACCACAATTTCACTCGATGACGTGGGAATTGGTCGTCGCATCGATCGATATTTACGGCTGGCCGAAACGAAATCAATGGCGGCTGGACTCAAATTTGATCTTCTATTCTTGCGAGCGCGTCTTATAAATACGACGCGTAACTTTATCCTGCGTCCGAGCTCTTTCTACACACCACTCCACTTGACATTCTCATTTTCCTCGTGTTTCGGCAATGACGATTCCCAATGGAGGCGCGCATTCGTTTTATAGGTAAACAGAAGCCTGCTATTCCGCTATGCCCTCTGTGTCTACAAAAACGATTTCTTGGTTAATTTGTTATTCCCTTATATTTTTTTATCGTGGAAGAATTTGCCACTGAACAATAATAATAATAATTTCGTAATTCCGGACAGAAAACGACAGGCGAATGACATAATCCGCGGACGCGGACATTTGGCAAACGTTTTTGTAGGTAACGCTACTGTTTTATGCAATTTTCTCATTGTGCTCGGAGTTTCGAGCCAAGCGTGGGAAATTTTAGTCGCATTACAGCTTTCCTAAGAGACGAACGGTCATCGAGCGATATACACGCGTTATTCTATACCTAGCGGCTAGCTTCCGGCTGTGATAGTTCTGCCAAAATTATCGCCAGCTTTTGCTGTTTCGACTCGGAAATTATTCGCGTACCGAATGTACGAATTTTATTTCACCCCTCGCTGTACATGCTCGAACGTTCCTTTGATCCTTCGGATCGGTCAAAATACCTTTGAAATTATCATCGATTTATTTTTGGTCGGGTTCATGGATGCGAGCCGCGCTCCATTATCGCAACAGTGTCGAGAATTAATGAGGTATCATCGATCACCATGGCCTCTATTAAAGTTTATTTTAGATTTTGTTAGTCGGTAATTGACGCGGTTCTGGCAGAGGATTCCACGCCTACCAATCCGATCTTGAACCTATCGGTTTTGGTATTCGCGGTTCGTTAATTACTCTAATTTCTTTTACTTGATCTTTTTGAGACGAACACAAGAGTTTAAAGAATTACAACTATTATGTATCAGCGATATTATCTATGTACAGGGTTAAGCGTTCAAGGTTGGCAAGCACAACGTTCGAGAAACGTTGGTTTCCTTTGTGGACGAATTAAAACAAACTGTAGCGTGTGACCGTGGCTTTAACCATAAACAATGTTTCAGCCGTACCGCACGACTCCTCTTGTTTTACCCGGTGCGAAGGTCAAGAAGGATGCACCACTCGGAGAATGCTATCTGCGTCACCATCCAAATCCGATGATCAGAGCAGCGCCTCATCACTACGAACCAGCTCATCCTGAAGTTGCTATGAAGCAAAAGGTGCGTGTTAACGAATATTAAGACCACTAAACTGAAGAAAAATAATAAAGTCATATTCTACGAGCAAACTTTTACATTTTCACAAAGAGGAATAGCTTGTCTTGTCGCGAAAATGTTGGTTTTAATCTCTTAAGAATATAAAAGAATTACAGAATGAAAGACTGAGAGAATTAAGAATACTTAACTTGTAAATATATATGTGTTTCATAAAATGTCCGACTAGGTGGCGGAATCGGTACTTCAACGTGTCTTGGGACCGAATGAAGTTCCAAAGGTTTGGACCACTTTATTCATGAATCGCTTCCGCTTCCACAAACGACGCTTCCGCTTTGAACAGAAAATACAACGATGTATTCACGTTAAAAAATAGTTGAAATTCTAACTAAATATCTGAAAATACCATCGAAATGTCTATGGTTGCGAGTGCCGACGATAATATAGCATGCTATCGATATTTTGCTAATGATTAACCCGCCCGTCAACGATTAGACGATCGGTTTTTAATAAAGGGCGTATGTACTTCTGTTTATTTATACAAAATTATCTGATGAGACTGCAACGTTCCGAAGGACGACGAATACTTTAAATGCGTCTAACAGTAAATTTATGACTTACTTCAGAGGAGTTAAGAATTAACTTAAGACACAGTGGCGTAACTTAAGAATGCGTAACGAATCTTTGGAGCCCCAGCTCTGTAATGAAACAAAGAAATATACCTGTTGCTGGTTACGCCACTGAAACGATGGAATACAACGTCTAAAGACTAATGCTATAAATTCAAAGAGACAAACGAGGGCATCTATACCCATTGTGATTAATTTGCAATCGATTTGCAACCTTTCCTCTCATCGTTTCGTTTCATTTGATTCCGTAGGTAGTCCACAAGCAGTTCAATTCACCGATTGGCCTCTACTCCGAACAGAATATCGCTGACACTATTAAATGCCAGGCGTCCGCTATACCGTAAGTATCGAGAAAAGATTTCACTTGAAAATATAAAGAAAACGTCTAATTCGCCGTGTAGCCTGCAATAGAGTAATAAAGTTAGTATCATTAATACGAATTGGCTTTTTGCTGAATGCTGCCACTTATCAAACACATTAACTCCGCAAGAGCAATTTTAATCTTGACACTAATTAACCAACGGTCATTCGTAACTCGATTTACCAGATAAATCAAAGTCGCATTTTAAATTGTCAAACATCGATCACGAAGACGATATTTTTGATGACAATGCTACAGAGCTTAACTTTGTAATTTCTTTCGATTTTGAGGTCATTCGAGTTTGATATGCACCGGCAACGGTGACATTTTTTTAACTCGTGCATCTCCATACAGCACGGAGCGTTGCTGGAATATTCTTGACACGTTACGCGTTGTATGGTTCGCATGAATCGCTAACTAATACTAAACTCGTAGGCAGACAAAATTCTTGAATTCGGAAACGATATTCTACCGACGAGAAATATTGATTACAAGTTTTAATCCGAATACGTATGAATTCGTCGACGGCTGTCCCGAAGAAACAGAAATAAACGCAGCGCCTCGATTCCTCCGCAGCTTGCGAAATGGATGACACTCACGTGCGGTTTATTTATTTTCCAGCATTTTCATAGACTTTTCCTTCGTGAAACAGAAACAAGAAATACAGGAGCAAGCGAGAATCTTGAAGGAGCAGGCCAAGGCCGCCTCCTCGAAGAACGTGTGGCCTCAATTCAATAAACCGAATTAATATATACAGATATACATACACACATATATATTGTAACGATAGTTCGAGATAGTTTTTCGCTGTTCCAAAATTCTACGATAACGCTGTCAACTATATTATCAATTCGACTTTCATCGCTTCTATCGACTATTATTTTTAGACCACCGCGTGGAATCGCCAAGTGTATTGCGATTTATTGTAGGGATCTCGAAATAGTGTCAACAAAACCGTCAGGAAAGTTCGAAAACAAACCTCGCGAAAGTTTGCCGAATAACAATCCTTATATTCTTGCATGCTGTAGAATAGACAATAATCAACAATTAATCGTATGAGATTATACGTGAGAATAAAATAATAAGTAGTCTTACTAATTTCGATGCTTACGTGATGAGAGCGATTCTCGAGAATTACCTTTCCTTCGGAGAAATTTCACTTGATCGATCGTAAAATATAGGGGTAATCAGAACTAGATAAGTCCTGTCTACAAGTTCTCCTAAAACCTGCCTTTGTTATTGTAAATTATAGTATATAAATGTAAAATAGAAACGAGACGTTGCTGCTACTTCTGACCAATAGAAAGACATGTATAACAATAAAGTAAATGAAATAAAGCCCATCTCTGGTTCTCACGAGCTCGATAGGATTCTCAATGAGTAATCTAATGACCAGTAATGGCGTCTCAGTCGTGGACAGGACAGTGTTAAACGATTGAAGGTTACGTAAGACGAAACGTAATCCTCGAAGAAGGGCGCCAAGCATGTAGCTAGAACGTGTTTGTAATTAGATTAACGATTAGAGCTCGGAAGCGGACCGAAAAGTCGCTCTCGAAAAAACAATTGGCGATACATAACCCCTGGCTGCTGTTAACCGATTTGACGAAATCGCCAAGCAAATGAATTAAAAGTAGCCCATGTGTACACATGCGATACGACGATACAGCCCGAAGAAACCGATGAAGTACGACCCGAGTAAGAGCGAGGCTTACAAAGCTCTGCAAGAGGAAGGCTATGGCGACACAGTGCAGGAGGTGAAACAGCCAGCGCGCACTGGCGTTTTCTCGCCGCAGAAAGTCAACCAAAATAGGGTATGCTCAGTACTTTTATCATAATAAAGCGGAGTTTTAGAAAGTCGAGCCAAAATTTCGATACCCGTTAGAGCAAGACTTCGATACTTAAATTGGTATTAATTTCAGGTACAGTACGCTCGACCGAAGAGTCCCGCTGGACCATTTGTAAGTATAAGTCTAAAAATAGAAAATTTTACGTTAGATTGAAACAGAAAAAAGGAGTTTGTGTAACTGTCTATTATCAATCTCGATCTTTGCCGTACTCGCATGTAATTGCATGAACAGCACGCGTTGAATGCAAATCTCTCTACTGAACATACAATTCGTAAAAATCGTAATACAATAATACCTCGATGTAACAATAGACCATCAAGAACCACTCATCAATTTACTTGACTGAGTAAACGATAAATTTAGATTTATGAGAGGTTTTTGATCATTCCGATACTGAATTTGTTTGATATCATTTACTCAATGGAACTGGTATCGCCATCTAGCGTCAAACGAAAGGAACTAAGTATTTGACAATCAGCGCCCTCCGTGGGAAAACGCCCAAATTTGTCGTAAAATAGTTCATATTCGCTCACGCTAGATGATGCCACCAATTTCTTCTTTGTGGATTTCCTAGCCCCACGACTCCTACTGTTCCAGCAATGGAGAAGGCAGGAGAGAAATGTAGACAGTTAGGTTATAACAGCAACGAAGAGACACTTTATTGTGTGTTCGTAACAGACGTGAAAACACATCCATCTACTGAGAACATTGCACAACACTGCCGCTCGCAGACGGCTTCTCGTCGAACGCGATATGGCCGCTTCCCCACTCTCGTATATAGAGTGAGAGGGAAGATCGCACTCCCTGCATTTTGAAAATTTAGTTCAACCTATTCACCGCTAGAGGCTGTTTAATCGAATGACACAAAAATTGAACAAGTGCATACATTATCAAACAATAACGCACTTCAAATTAAGCTAAGCCAACCCAAGCCAAAAATTTGAAAACGAATACGAGCACCTTCGTTCTCTAGCTAATCCTTCATAATAATGTACAAAGAGATATTATTTGTAGGATTAACGCTATATCGAGGAATTATTGTATACAAAAATCGTCAATATCCTTAATGGATGAATTTGTCATACTTCTTTTCGTGTTTACTTATTCGTCCTGTCATTAAAGTATAGTAAAGTTCTGTACCATCTCCCCTCGTAAAATGCTACGACAAATTAATATTTGATGTTTATTTGATCAAGGGTGGAAATTATAGACGTCCCTTCCCCCTCCCTTTCATAAAGGATCGCATCAACGACTATTAAAAACTTACACCAACTTGTACGTGTAATTTGTGTATCTGCAACCGCACCTATTCGCTTGTACTAGTCACAAGCGAACATTTTGTCCCTCTTCATTTTAGGGACAAAGTCTTCGCATACGACTTATGTGCATGATATTTTACACGTTGCATGATGACGCCGAATTCCAACATGTCGTCCATCTACGAGTATAAATTTTCGTTAAACAAATGTCTGAGATTAAAATTATATTTGTGAAAATAGTGGATTTACTATTACTCTTTAATTTAAATAAAATACTCGTAAGGGAATCTGCCAATGCATGCTAAGCACTTGTGCAATTCGTTGACGCTACGTTTTCGATTGATACAAAAAGAATTTACACTTTCCTTTTAGGTAAATGTCAACGACGATGATGGCGAGAAGATTCATCAAAGTAACAGCTTCAAGAGGATTATGTATAGTGTGCTGGGACAAACTGATTATTGAATCCAATTCTGAACTGATGCTATAAATATATCTTATTTATAATATATACATATATGTATATTTTATTTATTGTATGATGCAATAAGTGGTAACGAGAAAAGTGCCAAATTATAAGCAACAATTAAACGAAATAAAAAAAATAAAAAGTATAATATTATTACTATTGAGAGATCAAAGTAATTGTACACAAATTGAATTTTCCGAAATGTAACAACTTACCAAAGATTTCAATGAAGTTACATTATTTAATAAACATTCGTAAACGTGGCTCATGTGCAGTATAAAACTGTTGTCTCGTTGTTTTCCCCGTTCCATCTTCTATTCGCCTAACAACATTAATAAACAATACATTAAACAATCATGAACATAATGCACGAATACCATGTAATGGTTAACGTAATTTAATTTAATTATAAGGTGCTACATTATTTATTGCAATATCTCTGCATTAATACTAAACAAAATTTTAATTCATTTTCACTAGTAAATTCGGCATGTTAATTTGTATTCTTAAAACATACGTGGCTGCATCGTCGTTATTATGCATATAACAACAAAAAGTCGTGAGTGGAATAACAGTATCGCAATTTATGTTGGACCACATTGCATCTATGGTATCCTAGCAGGTTTTATAATATTATGTTGTTTTACATATCTTCGAATTACAAGGAGATTACAATTGTTGCCAAGTGTCTGATCGTTGCTTTAAAGGTGATAGATTCGATTGCAAACATATCCACAGCCGAGTAGTTGATACAATAATTTTCAATCGCCGCGAAATATTATAACAAAAATATTCCGTTCACAAAATCCATCTTTCAAACAATTCGTACGTAGAAGAATATAAATACTGTGCCTTCGCAAAACTATGCAACTCGCTTACCATTGGTTCAGGTATAGTATTATTACATTTATTTTCTACTCTTACTAACGTACAAATAATTTGTCTTCTACTTCTGTCGTCCTTTTCAAAAAGGAGATATCTTTGAAACTTTTCGAGGAGTAACGTTACGACTAGATTTCGTTTCATACATAATTTATTTCTCTCATGCCTAAAACCTTTGCGAATCTCTATGCTCGCGCGATACGTAATCGAGCCTAACGCTACAACTTGATCGCTTGTATAATTCTGCCGCCCTACCAATCGTTTAATTTTTTATAGAAAATAGAGCGGGGATAAAAAATTAAAACGATTGGCTGTCTGTCGCAACGGCGTAATTAAAGTAATAAAAAAATTGCCGTTATTATATCCTCAGCAAACCCCGAAAAGTTTCACTTAAAACTCCGCAGTCACTATTCTGCACGTTTACGCTCCGCGTAAAGTGTTGCATAAATTAAAAATAATACTTTCTCATTAATCTTATTCGGTTCGTAGTTACTGTATCGACATATTAACAAAAATAAAATACATGTGTTAACGCGCAAATATTTTCAAATCGATGCGAAATCCTCGTACATACAAGATTTCGGAGCCTATGAGTAATACATGTCGGAAATTTTCATATTAATGTAATTTTCGTAGGTTTCATATATATTTACATAAAAATATATATTACACAAAAATATCCCCTTAAACTCAAACATACACCGAGCTCAACACTCAACTCGCATACTGATATAAATATGTCACGTACCTTTAAAAAGAAAATATACAAAACCGCAATCAAACATTAAACGAGAAAGAAATGCATACATATTTACACGGATTACCCATTGCGAATGCGTATGTATATAGTTGCAGAGGAGGATAAATTAAATGAGAAGAAAAATTAATTTTGACGAACAGTCCACTACATCACAAAAAAAGACAACTTCGAGAAGAAAAAGTGAAGATAAGAAATATTATATTTGTGTGACTCGCGACATGTGTAAATCGCCATCAACGAAAATATTTGCGCCTGTAGAAATTCATTATAAATGAATCAGAAATGGAGAAATTATTCAAGCAGGACAAAGGTATATAACAAATATAATGCGAAAAAATAAATAAAATGTGTGTTCTACATAGTGCTACGAAGGGTAATTAAAGATTAATAGAATCGTCGAGCAACTGTTTCAGTTCTTTGAGATGCTGCATTTTGCTTCCTGTCGCGGGCGAAGCTGCTGTTGGACGACCAGCATATCTGAAACAGAGAACGAGATCCATTGATCCAAGTCAACCATAAAATAAAAGTGCGATCCTTTCAATAATAATGCCTTATCATCTATATCTACTGAAATAGAAAATACGAATAAACATAAAACAATTCACTAAAAACTGTTATTAAAAATTATTAACCGTGCCCCAATGAAATTCTGTAATCAACATTACCTCACTGTTCTCTGTATGGGTTTATCAGATTTTACTGACGGTGGTTCGGACGCAGTTGTCGTCGTTGGTTTAGCTGATGAAAACCAACCACTTAACCACCCTCCGCTACCGTCACTCTTGCGTGAGGTACTTCCGCCGCTGTAACATGGCCCAAGTTCTTTTACTTTGTTTAACAAAAAATCGCGTGAAAAGCAGTCGATATTTCAACACTGACTAAACATCGTGCTCGGGTACAATGTGTATTCGTGGTAATTATTGCATTTATCACGATTCTAAAACTTGCGTTATAAACACGTCTGTGACGAAGGGAAAAACATGGGCCATGTGAACAGCTAAAGGATATAAGAAACAAATTATGGCAGCCAAATATGTAATAAATGTTCAAATAATTCTGTACCTCGCTTTCAAAAAAATATTTTGAGCTACGTTCTTTGATTAAAAATATATGGAGCATTCTTGACTGTCCAAGTTCTGTCGATGCAAGAAATTAGAACACATACATACATTAAAAAAAAAAAATTACGTAAGGTTAAATTCCAGAAACACTGAATCAGTCAATCGCGAAAAATGATAGGGTTAAATAAAAACTCAAGCAACATTTAATTATGCAAAATAGCATACGCCACATAGCAGAAAATGAAATTGCGTATGAGGACAGTAATTGTCTTAATCATCTTAATCGTTAACTTTCATCGTGTACACAAAATAATGTATAATTGTATATTTAATACTTACACTACACTGCGAGTTCCGTTAAGAGCTGTGTGGAATCTAGGCTGAACGTACGTCCATGCACCCTGATTCTTGGCTTCCTCCTGGGCCCATACCAGTTCTGCGTTGGGGTATTTAGTAGCTTCTTTCTTAACCAAATCGTATGGGAAGGGTGAAATCTGCACAGAATAAAATTCCGAATAATAAATGCAATCAATAAAATAAAACTACAGAGTAATATTTCGATTTAATTATTCACCTGTTCAACTCTCGCAATGGCGACTTTATCCTCCAGTTGTTTTTCCGTGCGCGCTTTCTTCAAATCGTAGAAGACTTTCCCAGAACAGAACACTACACGCTTAACGTTGCTGGGATTTTGAGCCGCCTTACCTTCCTCGGGTATTACTCTAAGAAACTCCGTATCCTCCTTCATCAAGTCGAAACTGGATTTGGCTTCTGGATGACGAAGCAGCGACTTTGGCGTCATCAGAATCAAAGGTTTCCTGAATGGTAATGCGATCTGTCTCCTCAGAATGTGGAAGTAATTGGCCGGTGTACTACAATTAGCAACAATCCAGTTGATGTCGTGCAACTGGCGTACAGCGAATTCTTCGCTTTCCGGTGGGAAGTAGTCGGGATCGTCAGCAGACATTTGGAGGAATCGTTCCAGTCGAGCACTCGAATGTTCCGGACCCTACATAATTTGAATTTATTACATCAATCACATGTATGCTGTATGTCATATGTAAAACGAATACATGTAATTAACTCACCATTCCCTCTAGCCCGTGAGGCTGTAGCATGACAAGACCAGATTGACGCACCCACTTAGCCTGCCCGCTGCTAATAAACTGATCGATTATACATTGCGCCGTGTTGTTAAAGTCGCCGAACTGAGCCTCCCAGCACACCAATGCATTAGGGTTTGTCATGGAATAACCTAATTCAAATCCTGAAAATTCAGAAAGACGCGTTAATTGCCTTTGTTACGATATATTAAAAAACCGTGTATGAAAAATTTGTATTACCAAGTACACCAAATTCTGACAAAGAACTATTGCACACAGTATAGGGAGCTTGGTCTGGGTAAAGATAGCATAATGGCCTGTAAGTAGCCTTGTCCACGGTTTGATGATGAAGCACGTGATGTCTATGCGAGAATGTTCCTCTTTCTACATCTTGACCCGACAGCCTAACGTGAATCCCTTCTTTAAGAAGGGAACCGAAGGCCATCGCTTCTCCAAGGGCCCAGTCAACTGTTCGAGCCTCAATCATTTCCATACGAGATTTTAGAATACGCTCGATTCCTGTAAGATTCAACCATACGTCGTACATAAATCATTTTCTACCTCTGAGAAAACAATATTTACCTTTGTGTATAACAAATTCAGCAGCATTGGGAGGTGGTGACGAGAATTTTTTTCCAATATGGATCAGTGTATCTTCTTTAATGCCGGTAGGAGATACTTTTAACGGGTCCTTGCCTTCGAAGAAGCCAGACCACGGAGAATCCAGCCAATCCTTGTACTTGATGTGCGTTTCCTGCCTGGCGTTGGTGTAGGCATCCTCACAGATTTTTTCATACTTATCTTTGACATCCTGTAAAATAATATCGGTATTATAATTCTACTAGACAATCCTGTTAGAATATCTCTTTGATTTCAGTACCTTAACTTCTTCGGAGGTAACGACACCGTCGCTGATAAGGGAGTTAGCGTACTTGTCCAAAGCTGGTGGAGTTTTCTTGATTTTGCGATACATCAAAGGTTGCGTGAACATGGGTTCATCGATCTCATTGTGACCGTTTCGCCTGTAGGACACGATATCGATAACGACATCCTTGTGGAAAGTTGCCCTCCACTCAGCGGCGACTTTGCAAACGTGCATCACCGCTTCAGGATCATCCGAATTAACGTGGAAGATGGGTGCGTTAACTACTCTCGCAACATCTATTAACAGACAGCATAATTTAAATACAGTGGACGTGTATAGTTGACAATACCGTTACTTGCGCTATACTAGTTTCTATGCTTGCAATTAACTTACCGGTACAGTAAGGAGAGGATCGCGAATGTCTGGGATCGGTGGTAAATCCAATCTGGTTGTTGACCACAATGTGCACAGTACCGTGAGTTGTATAGTCGGGCAAATCGGACAAGTGCATTGTTTCGAAAACAATACCTTGTCCACAGAAAGCAGCGTCACCGTGCAAAAGAATGGACATGACCTGGTTAACAAGCAAATT